GCGGCGGTTCGCGGACGCCTGGAGCGTGCGCTGCTTCTCCGCCTGCTTCGCGCTGCTCCTGGGCGTCTGCGCGGGGAGCCCTCTGCTGGAGGCGCGCCCTTCGGCGATCCTCGGGGGAGGGAACCTGCGGGCAATATTTCTACCCATATCCAGTGCGCCTTGGACCTTTTTAGAAGGGGCGCCGCAAGGCCGAGGCGCCCTGGAGATGGATAAGAATTCGGCCTTTTGGGGGCATATGATACTCCATATCCGGTGCGCTCCGTGCTTCTCGGGAAGAGAGTCCGAAACTCCAAGGCGCACTGGATGTGGATATAGTTTTTTGATTAGCGGCCCGCAAGGAAAAGTCCAGAGGGCGTACTGACCGAGGCTGGGGCACAGCGCAAGATAAGTAGCGCGAGAACGCGCGGAGTGCACATGCAAAGACCAGCGAGGAGTCGCCCTGACAGCGCCAACTCGCGAAGAAACAGACACAAGCAGCCGGCCGCGAGGCACGCACAGCCTGAGTAAGGATGTGGATGTAGACATTGCCCGCAGAAAAGGGAGCCACACCGCCAGCCTCGCCCGGTTCTCCCCTGCCTGGGCCTCCCTGGGAGGCCGTCGTCGCCACCGCCGGGCTTCGCCCCGAGATCCCGGCCAGCAGGCGTTCCCGGAGAGGCCCGTGGAGCCGCGGCATCGGTACCTCTGGGTCTCCCCGGGTCCCTCGCTCCCTGTGGGCCCAGGCCCCCTCCTCCTCCTCATCCTCCTCCTCCTCCTCCTCCTCCGCCTCCTCCTCCTCCTCCTCCTCCTCCTCCACATGTTTCTCCTCCTCCTCCTCCTCCTCTTCCTCCTCCTCTTCCTCCTCCTCATCCTCCTCCTCCTCCTCCTCCCTCGATCAAGACGCGAGCAGAAGCACGGCGGGACCGATCTTTGTCATTTTCGGCCCCTGGGGGCCATCAGCGGGCTCAGGGACCGTCAGCAAAACGACTCGGGATGAAGACGCTGGTCCCTGGCAGTGGGTCGAGACCTCTGGGGGTCTACGTTGTGAACAAGCCACGACGTCCGGGGTCTGGGTCAGAGGAGGAAGTGGTATCGATACCGCTGCTCGTCCTGGAGAGCTCCCGTCGCCTCGCCGCCACTGCCGAATTCTCAGCGACATTCTGGTCCGAAAGCACCCTGGGAGAGGTCCTGGGAGAGGAGTACGGTAGGTTCGCGTCGTGTCGACCCTCGTCGACTCCGCCGCGGGAATTCAAGGTTGAACGCCGCTAGTGGCCCAGACTCGACCAACATGAAAAACGATTGGGCGATCGAAGAGCCGCTGATCGTTCAAGGTTGAGCGATCTACGCAGTGTCAGAAACCACTGCCAGGGTCGTCACGACACGAACCTGCCGTAGCTGCACCGGTGCCTTTTTCGTCCCACGGCGTCCCAGATCTCGGACGGCATGCCTGATTCCACTCGGAACCTCGACTTGGGCATTCCTTGGCCCATTGGGCCCCGGGCCATTAACAATGGATCTGGGGCGAAAAAGTGGGAGGAGTGCTCGGGTCAAGGCGGGCATGTCTCTCTACAGGGGGAAAATTGAACAATTTGCAAAACATACTCTGGGGACGATTTTTCTTGTGCTTCTGAGCATTTGTTGAACAAGTGTTGACTAGTTTCAATTCTTCGGTACAAAATCCGCCATTAAGAGGACACTCCCGACCTCTGCCACGCGCAGAGGGGGGGTGGGGGGAGGGGGAGGGCATCTTAGAAGCGCCCCTGCTTCTTAGAAGGCGCGGGCCTTATCTATAGATGCACGGCCGGCACCTTCTGAGAAGCAGCCTCATTCTAAGAAGCCCTCCCCCCTCCCCCCACACGCCTCTGTCAAGCAGTGGCGAAGCGTCCTGGCTCGCTTGTAACCCTACCAAGCCATGTCCTAAGAACCTTTTGTGGTTTCCACGAAATGTTCTTAGAACATTTCTGGCGGAGTCTGTCTTCTGTTAGCACATCGGGCTTATGTTCTAAGAACATCGGTTTTGCTCTGAGACCATGTTTGGGTTCTAAGGACATTTCGTCGTAGGACTATAGGAATGCCGGAACGGCCGGTCCCTGCTCAAACCCTCCCCCTTCCCCCCACCCCCCTCTGCGCACCGCCAACGACCTCATTCTCGGGGCCTCTGGTGGCCTTGGCATCGCTCGGACGTGTGAATTTTTCCTTCGGTGAGGACCATCGAGGAGCATCCTTGATCATTTGGCGAGAAAGCCACGCACCAAACCATAAAAAAAACAGAGGGATTGGACGTCCGAGCGATGGCGAGTGGCCGCGCACGGCCAAAGAGAGCACACCGCCGGGCGCGTGGGCTCTCGGGGTCCTGCCGACTCTCGGCGGGCGGCAGCTGCGGGGCTGCAGGCCAAGGCACCGCCGGCAGGAGGGCCAGGAGCACGCCTCGGGGCTCCAGAGATAGGAAAACGAACAATGTCATAAACATAAAAACTCGGAGGTCCGCGCGGATTTCTCGGATCGGCGCCGGGGCCCCCTGGCGGCGCCTCCGGCGCCGCCCCCTGGCGCGCGGAGCGCGCCAGGGAGGGGGGTCCAGCGCCGATCTGAGAAGTCCGTGCGGACCTCCGAGTTTTTATGTTTATGTCTTTTTTCGTTTCCCTAAGAGACGGGGGTCCGGGGAAGGCTCTGGTGACGATGATTTTTTTGACTCGGCCAAGACTCTGCTGCCTTGGCTGTATCCGTGCTTGCTCAGCGAGTTCGAGCAAAAGCGCTACTATGTGGAGATGTTCTGCCTCCCGTCGACGCTGTGGCACTGATGCCGAGAAGACAATCAAGCAGTGGGGAAGCGTCCCGGCTCGCCTATAGCCCCACCAAACAATGTTCTAAGAACCTTTTGTGGTTCCCACGACATGTTCTTAGAACATTTCTGGCTGGGACTGTCTTGTTTTAGCACATCGGGTTTATGTTATAACATCATTGTTTTTGTTTTTAGAACATTCTTAGGTTCTAAGAACATTTCGTGGTATGACTATAGGAATGCCAGGACGGCCAGTCCCTGCTCAAGACAATGCAAGACAATGATGCCACCAACCGGCCAACCAACCAACCCCTCGGGGCTCCAGAGACGGCGGTCCGTGCATAGGGGAACGCACAGAAAAACTCCGAGGCCCGCGCAGATTTCTCGGGTCGGCGCTGGACCCCCTCGGCAGCGCCTCCGGCGCCGCCTCTCGCGCGCCAGGGAGGGGGGTCCAGTGCCGACCCGAGAAATCCGTGCGGACCTCGGAGATTTTATGTTTATGGCATTCTTGGTTCCTCTACTGCAAACGGGGGTCAGTCAGAGCGCCAGATCCTGCAGGATCCTGCAACGCCAGGGCTGCACTGACCCAGGCGAGGGCGCAGGATCTTGCAGGGTCTTGCAGGACCCTGCGAACGCCCAACTGACCCGGGTTTGGATGGACCCGGGTCAGTAGGTCCCCAAACCCCTTGGCCCTGGAGTCTCTGGACGCCCGAAATGGGTATTGAAAGAATGGGTACTATGCCCAACTGCAGTTCCTGTTCATTTTGAACAGGATTTGCTGTCCTCGCCGCCGCGGCCTGTGCCCATTTGAGACACAGGGCCGCCTGCCCAACAGCGGCCGCTGTTGGTTTGGAACAAAATTTGCTGTTGGGCATTGTACCCATTTGTTCGGTACCCATTTCGGGCGTCCAAAGAGTCGCAGGAAAAACGGCATAGACTTCCATTGTCGGAGCTCCGCGCGGACGTTTTGGATCTGCGCTCGCATCCCCCGGGCGGCGCTTCCTGGCGCGCGCGCCGCGCGTCAGGGGGGGCAGCGCCGATCCAAGGCATCCGCGGGGAAGCCCCCGCCGGGATGCAGCCAGCATGAGTAGTGTCGGGAGCACCCCTGGCTTTGGAATGGCGGCCGCCTTGGCGGCCGTCGCGAACGCCCTGGACCCGCCTCCTCCTCCTCCTCCCCCTCCTCCTCCTCCTCCTCCTCCTCCTCTTCCTCCTACTCGTCCTCCTCTTTCCCCTCCTCCTTCTCGTCCGCCCCCTTCTCCTCCTCCTCCCTCCCCCGTCTCCGCCTCGTCACGCATTCGGGAGGTGCAGAGAGAAATTCCGACTCCGCCAGCAGAGGCACCAGACTCGCAGAGCACTTCCCCGAGGGGGGCCATCGACAGCACTGACCAGCCAGCGGGCCGCTGGCCCCGAGGCAGGCCCTCCACCAGCGTTGGCATTGCAGGGCCCGGAGGGAGGGGACCACACAATGCAAAACATCAAAAACATATGTCGTACTGTTTGTTGTATGCAAACTCTTCGGGTAGAGGCCTTCAACCTCGGAGTGTTCATTCGCCTTGGGTGCGGCGGAGGGGCTCGTTCCTGCGGCCACGTTCCGACTGTAATGGTTCAGGAGTTGCGAAGTGCCAGACCGAGTAGCACTGCGAGGTCAAGGGCAGTTGTGCTCGCAATCGGTCCGGTCAGCTCCGCCAAAGTTTGTGCGATCTGTCGTCGTACCCAGCTGCCTGAGCGAATGCCGCCGCCCTGCCAGCTCAGCATTATGTGCGTTGTTGGCGACGTGTTGGGCACCGCCACCGGACGCCTTCATTCCTGGAGGGGGGCACTCACAGGGGCCTGCCGGAGCCGCCTTGGGGGCTGCCTTGGGCTCCCGTGGGGCCGTCCGGGGGATCTCCCTCGGGCCGTCTTTGGCCCACCCCCCCCGGCCCTCTGTAGGGGAACAAAAAGTGACATAACATAAAAACTCTGAGGTCAGCGCGGATTTCTCGGATCGGCGCTGGACCCCCCTCCCTGGCGCGCGGAGCGCCGCCAGGGGGCCTCAGCGCCGACCCGAGAAATCCGCGCGGACCTCCGAGATGTTATGTTTCTGTCACGTTTTGCTCCCCTAGAATGGGCAACACCCACGCTCTGGCGACGATGATTTCTTATGCTCGGTCAAGGCTCTGCTGCCTTGGCTGTATCCGTGCTTGTCCCCCTGCTCTGGGGAGTCTCCTGCGGCTGCCTCGGCAGCCGCCCTTGGGCTCTCGCGTGAGGGGCCTCCCCGAGGCCCTCCCGCGGCCCTCGCGGGCCTCTCCCAGGGGAGCCGGCGGGGCCACCTCCCAAGGCCATGATTGTGTCTCTGCGTCGGCCCCTCCTCCCTCCTCCCTCCCTCCCTCCCTCTCTCCTACCTCCTATCCCTCCTCCTCCTCCCTCCTCCCTCCTCCTCCCTCCGCCTCCTCCTCCTCCTCCTCCTCCTCCTCCTCCTCCTCCTCCTCCTCCTCCTCCTGAGGTCTCCACGCATTCCCCGGGACTGGTTTCTCATCCCGAGTCGTTTGTCGACAGTCCCGCGGCCCGGTAAGGTCCCCCAGATGCCGGAAATGGCGAAAACCGTCTCGTCGTGACTTTTGCATGGCTCGGAGGGGTCTGGGTCTGGGCCCCCCTAGTGTGGGACTGCCCGGGCGCCTCGGGGGACTCCGGGCCCCGCCTCGAGAGCCCGCCTTGGTGCGCTCGGGGTGTGCCCAGCGTCGCGCCCCCGAGGGCCGCCGCGTCGCCGTCGTCATCGAGCGGCTTGAAACAAAACGCGTCAGCTTCCACACTGGCCAGAATGGGGCTCGAGTGCGGGCAAGACTCGCGTCCATATCCGCTGCAGCTTGGACATTTCGTCCCCAAAAACCCGAGGCGCACTGGATCTGGATAGCAATCTGGCCCCTGGAGTAGAGGGTCGACGTCTGTCCCCATCCAGTGCGCCTCGGCCTTGCGGCGCCCTTCCGAGAAAGTCCAAGACGCACTGAAGATGGAGAAAGATCTTGCCGGAGGCCTCCGGGGCCCCCGAAGGCAGCCGCGTCGACCGTCGACCGTCGCCGTCGTCGTCGCCGCCGCCGTCGTCGTCGACGTCGCCGTCGTCGCCGTCGTTGCCGCCGTCGCCGCCGCCGCCGTCGTCGTCGCCTTTGTCGTTGTCGTCGTCATCGCCGTCGTCGTCGTCGTCGTCGTCGTCGTCGTCGTCGTCGTCGTCGTCGTCGTCGTCGCCGCCGTCGTCGTCGTCGTCGTCGTCGTCGTCGTCGTCGTCGTCGTCGTCATCGCCGTCGTCGTCGTCGTCGTCGTCGTCGTCGTCGTCGTCGTCGTCGTCGTCGTCGTCGTCATCGCCGCCGTCGTCATCGTCGTCGTCGTCGTCGTTGACGGTCGTCGCTGGCCGTTTGCGTCGAAAAAACGTGGCGCCTCGTCGGCGCCGTGGCGCCCCGCAGGTGCGGACGCTCTGGGAGGGCGTGGCCGTGGACAGGAGCTCGCACTCGCTGAGGGAGCGCGCCCTGCGGCCCCCTCGCGCCCCCGCCCTGCGGGCAGGCGCTCTCCGTCTCGGCGCCTCGGGCGTAGCGTCATGGGGTGGGGGGGCACGAGTAGAAACGACAAACAAAGGGCGTCGCGTAATGGGCACCCTCGTTTGTTAATTATCTGCCTTCCCGCGCGCTGTGTCCCAGCCTCGTTCACACCGCCCTCTGGACTTTTCGTTGCGGGCCGCGAATCAAACAAAGTAATGGGCACCCTTGGCCCCTCAGGGCGTGGAACTTGGAAGCCGTAAAAAACTTCACGAGCCCTTGCGGGCCTCAGGCCACGAAGCACCTAGACCCTTACCCTTCTTTTGAACCTTTAAGCCCTGGAACCATTCAGCCAGGAAGCCGTTAAACACTTAGTTGTCGTGCTAAGCCTTGACGCTGAAACCTTTGAGTTTTGAAACCTCTAACCCATTGACCTTTGAACGCTTAAACCCTGAAGCCCTTCAGTCTTTGAGCCTTCAGACCCTTTTCAGCCCTTGCACCCTTAAATCCTTGAGTCCTTACCGTAACATCCGTGGGCAAAATTGGTCTATATTCCAACTTGGGCAATCCTGTTAGTTTCTAGACGATATGTGCAGACGTGTGCACATCATATGGTGTTGGGCTATCGTAACACCGCCTCATACTTCGTGCCAGTTTGCCTTTTTTCTACTTCGTTGGAAAATATACCAGTCGGTTGGGATTCGTCCAAGTCGGTTGGCATTATTACCGCATGCAGCTCCCCCTCCCGGTTCCCAAGGGGCGGGGGATTTTGCTTCCCCACTCCCACTTTCATGTTTCCAGTCATGCGATGGTATATCGCTCTCCTTCGAACGTTGACGAATGTCCTACGAACATTATCGACGCCCCGTTCGGCAATTGCGAAACTGTTTCCCCTACAACTGTGGACCAGCAGGTCGTCGTCGCCTGGCTGTGGGAGGAGTTGTTCAAGGGCGGTCGCCTGCAAGGTTTCATCGCGAACCGGCGGAAACACTTCAGGCAGTTTCTTCCTGGTAGTTGCATTATGGCGCACTCGCATGCAGCGCGCGCGGCTTGGTCGCCTGAAGGGTCGCCCCTTTGGCGTGGCGGCGTGTGTCTGGACATACGCAAGGCTGCCTCCAGCCATGTTTGCACTCCTGCAGCACCAGTTGCTGATCCCAGCGAAGCACTACCAGGGCGACCACCACTGCGTCGAACGAACCTACAGCGTAGCTCAACCGTGGCTTCTCTTCAAATTGTGTACGATTCGATCGGCGCCAAACTGGCAGTGCTGGGCGGCCCGAAGTTTCCACTGACCGCCTATCGATTCAATCCGCTGGGCATTTGGAACGAATTGTCCGCCTCACCCCGTGAAATCCGGCATCAGTGCTATCTGTGCGGAACCCACCAACGTTCGGGACACTGGGAGGTTCAACCGCGGGATTGCGGCGGAATCGCGCGGCAAATTGGCGCTCGCATCCATCAGGGCAGTGATTCGGCAGGTTTGGCCGCGTGCATTTGGGGCATCCCAAGAAGCGCCAGTACAGCAAACACGGCCACCATGTGCGAACTTCAGGAGGGGAAACAACACACAGACACAAGTAATCGTCGATTCCCAGGGAAATATGGGAAACTATGGGAAGTGGGGGGGGAAGACAAACACCCAGAAGATATGGGAAAATATGGGGAACATTTTCATTTGTGTGTTTTTATTTCTGTGTCCCAGGGCCCCTTCAGAACTGACAGCATTCGAATTACTATCAGCGTTTGGTTGGGCGTCGTCATTTTGCGACCGTCTCGGGTGGTGCTGCAGCGGCCGTGCGCGCCTGTCGTGGTCAACATGAGCGATGGCGAGGGCCCTGGCAGCATAGCAGCGGCCACCTGGCACTTGGCATCGCTCGGACGTGTGCATTTTTGCTCCGGCGAGGACCATCGAGGAGGATCCTTGATCACTTGGCGAAAAAGCCACGCACGAAACCGACAAAAAGCACAGGGAATGGACGTCGACCGATGGCGAGGGAACCTTCGCGCAGAGGGGGGCACACGTTTCGATCCCGCAGGTCGAGGGCGCACCTCCTGCAGAAGGGGGGGCACGCGCCGCCGGCGGCTGCTCCAGCGCGACCTGCCCGGCGGGGAGGCTCCGCGAGCGGGCGGACGGCGCGGGCAGCGGCGTGGACAAGAGGATCCGCAGGCCAGAGGTCGTCGCGCCAGCGGAATTGCTGCATGCAGCACGTGGCCAGAGCTCTTTCGGGGCTCCTCGTGGCTTCCCTTCGTCGACGCCGATCATTTTTGTTGGGCGCCTGATTTTTGTGGGTTGACGCTTCATGTCATTTCTTTTCCTCCTCCTCCTCCTCCTCCTCCTCCTCCTCCCCCTTTTCCTCCTTGTGGGTTGCCTAAGTTTTGTGGGACGCCTGATCTAGCAGCACCACGGCCGCCGACGTTGTCGAGCACACGTGGTCGCAGATCCTTGCGCGTTGCTGCTGGCCGTGGTTTGGCCGCTGCCGTCGGGATGCGACATGGTTGATCGCCTTTCTCGCGCAAGCGTCTCAGCATAGCCGCCCAACACGGTTGGGTGAGAGACGGGTCGCTACTACCGTTGCTTCTGCGCTTGCAGGTGCCTGCATTTTGTCGCGGGTCTGCACAGGGCAAGTGCCGCACTATGCAGGGCCATTTCGTCGCGGCTCCGCAGAGGGATATCTGTACTGCACAAGGGGTACCTACATTGCTCTACACGCCCTTCGTAGCGCAAGGCGGCGCCGCCCTGTTTTCGCGCCCCCAGCGGGCGCCGCTTCCACAAACTGCCTGGGACGCACGATCAGGCTGTTGATGCCCAGTCCGCCGCTTGTCCACCCAAGGTCAAAAGAAACGCATGTTCTTACGCGATTGAAGCGACATCAATGATCATGTCGCGATGCGGGCTTTGTGGGAGATCGATTCTGGAAGTTTATTGTTGAGTCTGTGCTGATATCTTCAATTCTGCAGACAGCGCTGGTCACTCCTTGAACCAAGTTGAGAAGTACTGGCGGGCGGCCTCAGTGCTTGAGAAGTCACGCAGGAGGGAGGGGAACCAGCCAGCTGAGAGGCAGAAGGTGGACGGCTGAGAACGAGCATGGCGAGGGCAAGGGGCGGAGGAAATAAAAGCCAGTGATGATGATGACGACGATGTCGATGATGATGATGATGATGATGATGATGATGATGATGATGATGGTGGTGACGAGGATGATGGTGATGCTAATGACGATCATGATGATGCTGATGATGATGGTGGTGGTGGTCGAGGTTGTGGAAGTACTGCTGAGGATGACGATGACGATGATGCCAATGGTGTTGGTGATGATCATGGTGATGCTGCTGCTGATAATGATACTGATGGCGATGATGATGCTGATGATGAAGAACATTATGATGTTGGTGATGCTGATGATGATGATGATGATGATGATCATGATCATGATCATGCTCATGCTCATGCTCATTGTCATGATGATCATGACGATCATGATGATGGTGATGATTGTGAGTACGATGATGATGATGATGATGATGATGATGATGATGATGCTGATGATGCTGCTGCTGCTGGTGATGTTGATGATGATGGGGAGGAAGACGGCGAGAAGGATGATCACTGTCGGTGGTGGTGGTGGTGATGGGGATATTGCTGGTGATGGTGGTAATTACAGGTGGTGATGATCGCACCTCAAAATAGTCCGAGGCTAACACCAGGCGTATTGGGTTTCTGGGAGGAGGGAGAGATGGAGGTGGATCCTGGCAGCAGGAGGTCAAGGATGCAGGAGGCCGAAGAGAGGAGGGCTGATGAAGATTGGTGAAGGGCGGAGGGAGGATACAGACGAGAGGGGCGTCAGAGGAGGAGGAGGAGGAAGAGGATGAGGAGGAGGAATGGGGGTATAACAATGATGGAGCGAGGAGAATAGTGAGGAGGGAGGATGGGAAAGGTAGGACAAAGGTGCTGCCCTCATGGGCGGCACCCTCCCTTGAGGAATGCAGTCGACGCGCCTAGCAAGGAAGCGAGCCTTCATCTAGGGTACTAGGGTCTTGCGTCCTTACCACCCGGCCTTAACACACGTTCTGGCTGTGGAGGCATAGAGGAGGAGGAGGCGGACGCACCCCTCGAAGACGACCTTCCGCGGGCCACGCTCGCGGGCGAGAGACGGATCAGTATTTGGGGCCTCTCGGGCCGGGCCCTTTTGGCGCGAGGCCGCAGAGATGGCGCGTTTTTTTCGCGGATGCCCCTCGCGGAACATACAGTCAAAAACCTGAATAAGGACGCGCGACTTTGCTCAGGGTACCCTTGCGTCTTTGCTCTTCCTTGCTCTTGCGTCCTTGAGGTTCTCGTCGTCCGCCGCCCCAGAAATCCCAATTTCGGCTTCCAAGGGTCTTGCGTCCTTACCGCGCGTCCTTATTAGGGTTTTTGATTGTATTTGTGCGACCGCGTATCCGCGAGGGCGCGTCGGGGGCATTGAGCCGGGGTCAGTCAGGGCCCCAGCTCCGGCAGGATCCTGCCCAGCCAGGGGTGCATCGACCCGGGCCGGCGTGGAGGCTCCTGCGGGGTCTGGCAGGATCCTGCAACGCCTGACTGGCCCCGGTTTTGCCTGGACCCTGGCCAGTGGATCCCCGAGCGCGGACACGGATAACCCCAGGAAGCATTTAAGACCCCCCCCCCCCCTCCGGCAAATCGATAACCCTTCCGCACCCTGGAAGCGTTACCTGGCACCAGAAGTCCTGCCTGTGTCCGGGTGCTAAAGCTATCGTTCGGTTATTTCGGCCCCTCGGAATATCGAATAAAAAATGCGGTGCTACGATATCGCCGGGGGGGTTCTTAAATGCTTCCTGGGGTTATGTCCGCCGCCCGTGGCGCGCTGGGGGGCCGAGGGGCCCGCCGCCGGCCCCCCCCCCCTCGTGGCTGGCGGCAGGACATCTTCAGCGACAGCCTGCCCTCCCTGACCAGGGCGTACGTCACGGTCCGCCGCCGCCCCCCCTCCTCCACCCCCGCGCCTCTCTCGCCGTCTCGGCCTCTCTCGGCAGCAGAGATTCGGGGGGAGGAGGAGGAGGAGGAGGAGGAGGAGGAGGAGGAGGAGGAGGAGGAGGAGGAGGAGGAGGAGGAGGAGGAGGAGGAGGAGGAGGAGGGGGAGGGGGGGGGTGGAGGAGGAGCGGCGAAGTTTGAGTGGAGGAGCGAGGATGAGCGAGGAGGGATGGGGGGGGGGGCGGGGAGGAGGAGGTGAGGGGAGGGGAGGAGAGGGAGGGTGGGAGGGAGGTGGCGGGGGGGGAGGAAGGGGGGAGGGCGGGGAGGGGGTGGGAGGAGGTAAGGGGAGGAGGGGGAGGGAGGTGAACGAGGGGAAGAGGCCCTGCTTCTCAAGCGATTTGGAGAGGGGCCAGTCAGCAAGAGTGCCTCGCGCGCCTGCAACGTCTCGTTTCTGCCTCGAGTGCCCCCCTGCCCCGCTGGATGCGAGCAAACCGCCCACACCGATCCACTGCACAACAGCAGTGCAAGAGCATAACAGCAGTACACGAACGGAACTGGTGACACACATCGTCATACCGCCCGGATTGCAGCATGGACATCGGATCATAAATGCAGACTTTGGAAATGAAGGAGTAAGACGAAGACGCGGAAGATGGAACAGCAAACCCATCCATCGTCAATCCCCGGGTTATTTGCGATGTCATCGTCCCAGAGTCTCCGAACTTGGTTGGACGCTGTGGCGCAGTGATCGACAAAACTCAGCGTTACCATCATTGTTACATCATTTTGTGATACTTCCCGGTGGTAGTCGCGGCTAAGGACCGGGAGTTCCCACAACAGGTTCGGAAATGGGTGTCCGATTTGCTGGACAAACTTCCAGAGCGTTGCATTCTGGTATGGGGCATGGACCTCAATGGCCCCAGAGCACTGCAGTGGGGCCGGCTGAACCTGAGCGAGAGACGTACAACGCCGAATTTGCCAGAGCCCTTGCTGAGAAGCATCATTTGTTCTTCGTTAGCGCGTTTTACCCGCGGGCCCATACATTCTACAATAATAGCTAGATTTGGGCGGGGCGCATCGATTATTTCTGTCTTCCGTTATCCTTGCAAAGGTCTGCGCGCAGATGTTTAGTTTGGTCTTGGTCGGGTGATGCATTACAGATTATTGATACGTGCGCTCGTCGTGATCATTGCCCAGCGTTGGATGTCGGTATCCGTCTTCGTTACGTGGGGGAGCAAGTGCGGGAAGGATGGGACCATGATAAGGTGGTGGGAGCTGTGTTTAGGGGCGAAGGGAGGCTGGAATGCATCATGAAGGTGGAGGAGACGATCCAGGAGGAAGACTGGCATGCCTGCCCTACTGACAGTCCTGGGGTCGATTGCTTTGTTGTCAATTGCCGGCGTCTCAAGGCAAAGGTCCGTCCCCTCAAAAGGCAACGGGGGCGGGAGAGGACGGAACGGCACCTCGACGTGCTTTGGGACAATTGGAGCCGACGGCATTTTCACGATTGTTGGCGGTTATCGCGCCTGTTGGCGCGCAAGGGTGGCCCCAAGAAACGCCGCACAATTCTCGGTGCCCCTCCTTTGTTTGGTGCTGAAGAATGGCAGCGGCATCTGGAGAAAACTGGTACTGGCGGAGGCCTGGCGGCAACTCCAGTTGATTTGGACCGAGCTCATTCGACACCGTCATGATTGTATTGTTCCTCCCGGTCTTCCTTCCACGCGTTTTGTAGAACGGGCTGAGCGTTCTTGCCAAGCCACCCGAAAATTCTTCAAGAAGGCTTCTATTCCAAAGCCACCTCCAAGTCGGAGCTTTCCTTCGGTCATGTTGCGGATGCTACTCTTCCCCGGCACGGCGGTGGCCTCCCGGCGGCGGGGGTCGGGAGTTGAAGAGCAGCGGTTGGAAGTCCCCAGTTTTCTTTATGCGAACAACCTCCTGCAGGTGGCCATCCAGCGCACTAAACGTACCCCACTCGCCTGGCATATCAGTGACGCCTTCTACATTCGTAAGGCCAGCTCGCAGAAACAAGGGTCCGCCGCGATGCGATTGTTGCATGGTGTGGACGGCGGCGGCAAGGTGTCTTACGCGGCGCTACAGGCTGACGGCAAGCAATTATATCGTCGTCCGTACGCCGCGGGATCCATGCGTCACAGGCGCAGGGAGCCATGTGTCTCGCAACAGAACATCCTCCGTCATCGGTTTCGTGCGGCCAAAGTTTCTCACGCCACGAAATTCTATATGTTTCGCCGAACCCCACCAGCCCATCCAAAAACGATGCCCAGAGGGAATGCCTCAACCAGGGAAGTGGGCAGCACACAGAGGAAGGGTCCCCCAGTGGAGGCCTTTTGGAGCGTCTTGGGGGCCTCTTGGCGGTCCCGGGCGCCTCTTAGAGCGTCCTGGGTGCCTCGGAGAGTTTCTTGGGGCCTCTTGGGGGTCTTAGGGGCCTCGTGAAGACCTCTGGGGCGCCTGGTGGGGCCTCCTGGGCGCCTCTTGGGGCCCTCTTGCAGCGTTCTTGGCAGCCTTGGGAGCGCTCTTGGAGCCCTCTTGGGCCATCTTGGAGACATCTTGAAGCCTCGGATGGCCATCGAAGGCGAGAAGGCGAGAAAACCCAAAACATGTTGATTGTCCTTAGGGTTTGGGAAAATGTGGGCCTCTTCGGGGCATCCTGGGGGAGCTTGTTGGCTACTTGGAACAGTCTTAAAGCGGTCTTCGGGCCTCATTGGAGCATCGTGGGAACCATCTTGGGGCATCTTGGGATGCCGTGAGCCATCTTGGAGGTCATCCTTGGGTTCCCCCAGGCGGTCGTGGAGTCATTTGAAGCAGTGCCCCCCCCCCCAGGAGGCCCAAATGTGGCCAAAATCCTTTTGTACAATCCATGATTTTGGCATTTTTGCCGAGGCCTTTTGGAGCGCCTTGGGTGCTTTTGGAAGGGGTAGTGGGAGGGGTCCAGACTCCCTCCCCGGCCGCAAACCGTCTCGCTCACTCCCGCCCACCCTCCTACACATACGTAGCACCCGAGCCTGGCCCGAGCCTCAGCATATTCAGCAATCGTTTTTGGATGGGCAGTTATTGGGGGCGCATCCGCCGCCGCCGCCCCCGCCGCCGCCTCGCCGCCGCCGCCTCGCCGCCGCCGCCCCCCCCGCTGCCCGCCGCCGCCGCCGCCGCGCCGCCCGCCGCCGCCGCCGCCGCCCCGTTGCCGAATCGCCGCCTCCGCAGCCGCTGCCGCCGCAGCCGCTGCCGCCGCAGCCGCTGCCGCCATCGCTGCCGCCGCCGCCACCGCCGCCGCAGCCGCCGCCGCCGCCGCCGCCGCCGCCGCCGCCGCCGCCGCCACCGCCGCAGCCGCCGCAGCCGCTGCCGCCGCCGCGGCCGCCTCAGCCGCCGCCGTCGCCGCCGCCGCCAAGTGTAATATGTTTTGTTCTTGTGGCAGGGATGGTGGGGGGAGGCCGCATCGGGTTGGCTGCGCATGCTTCGCATTTGGAGGCAGAGTGCATTTTGCATGTTTTACAAGGGATGTTGGGGGTGTGCCCTCATTGTCCCTGGTTGGCTGCCAGTCGCCTGGGGGAAGGGGGTGTATACGAATAGGGAGCAGTGATAAACCCCTCCCCGAAGGGGAAGAGAAAAATTTAGACGCTTCGCGTATCCCCACCAGCCCGTCCAGAAACGACGCCCAGGCGAGTAGAGGGTCGTCCTGAGGGGTTTTTCGGCGTCTTGGGTGCCTCGGGGGGGCCTCTTTGGGCAGTTTGGGATCCTCTTGGGGGCCTCCTGGGGGCCTCTTGGGGCCATCTTGGGGCCATTTTGGGGCCTCCTCTTGGTGCCTCCTGGGCGCTTCTTGGGGCCATCTTGAAGGAAATCGATCATAGAAGAGGGGAGCTTCAATTAGTGCTGCCCCCTCTGGGGGCCAAAATGGGGCCAAAACCTTGTTAACATCAGTGAGTTTGGCTTCCTCGGCGAGGCCGTTTTGGACGCTCTGACCGTTCCCCGCCCCCCTTGTCAAGGTCAGTGGGGATGGGGTAAGGGGAGGGGTAAGCCCCTCCCCGAAGGGGAAGAAGGAGGGGTGGAAGAGGAAACGCTCTAAACCACCGACGCCCGGAGGGCTAGTGGGACTCCCTAAACCACCTACGCCCAGAGGGTGGGATTCTACGATTTTTCGAATGCTTTCCATTGCCTTCGGCATACAGACCTAGTTGCATTGTGCATTCTTTCACGAATGCTTTGAAGATCCGGAGGACAACCGCTGTACGCAGCAACGGCTGCAAGACGCGTGACTTCCCGTGGAGACGACGGACGGCCCTTTGACGCCTCGATTCGGGAATGGCGTTCTACCTGGCGGCACGGGAGCGCCGAAATGGCTTTTGGGTGTTTTCCACCTGGCAATCGATGGTTTCTTGGCGTGTGCACCTCAGCCTCGGTGCGTGGCCCGTCCCCCGTGGCTTCAAGACCGGCTGCTTACCAAAGCCCCAGCGCCGCGGTGGCGTTTGCACTATGGCATCGGCGACCTGGGGTTTCACGGCGTCGATGTCTTTTCCAGTATGTACGCCAACGACATCGTTCGCACCCTCTTGAGTGACAGCCGTGCACCTGCATGTCAGGATTAATCGCGTCTTTGCGATTCAAGGTCGGAAGAATGCCTTTTTGCTTATGCGTTGGCACAGAGCCACAGCAAGCAAAAACAGCAACCACATCTATTTGGGGCGGGGTCTTCTGCTACCACTCGGATCCGATTCTCTGCTGAATGCAATGCCGATCGTATTGGTGGAGGAAAGGATTGGGGACATGACGGTTTTTGCGGCGGGGTCTGGAGGCGGAGGAGGAGGACTGGTCAATGGTCGTGTCCTTGCGTTTTCAAGGCATCTGGGGCATTACGTGAATTACGCGGGATTTCTCGCTCCAAAACGGCAGCGTCGCGTGCAAGCCGCTTGGGGCGCATATCATATCATGAGTCGCTTCGTCGCCCCCAACAGGTGTCACCGGTGGACAAGCATTGTGTTTCGGCGCCGTCCCGACTTTTCGATGACGAGTGCTGGCGTTGCTTGGGTCGTTTTTTCGGCAGATTGCAATGCTTTAGATGCTGCTAGGGCCAAGATGGTTCGCGCAACCCTCTTTGGAGCAGCCTTCCTTATGTAAACGGCGCCTCATGGCAGACTGGTTTGGACGTGCTGGACCAACGATGCTGTGCTCAAGGCTCTCCGGCTGGTACCGCTGTCTCTAGAATTGAGGCAGGCACGTTTTCGCTGGTGACAGAGTATCGTTCGGTTTCCCTGGGATGTCGCGCCATTGCTGGCCGTATTTTTCGCCGAGCTTCCTTTCGACAAGTCCCGAGCCCCCGTGGCGCCCGACGGCGCGGTCAACCCTCGCGCGCACCCTTGGATTCATCAGTTGCGTTCTGATTTGGAAGTATTGTCTCTTGGACTGTGGGGCTATTATCGATGCCGGTGCACCTCCGCTCCTGCTGATCGCGAGCGAAGACTGCCAGAAAGAGTTCGGTTGGGTCGATTTGGAGGTCTTGACGTCTGAGTGGAAGTGTGTTGCCATTCGTTTCCCTCCTGGTCTTTGCCCTTTTCCTTCCTTCGGCGGTGGCGGTGGGGGTGGCGGATCTGTTCCTGGTGGGGCGGCGGCTGGGGAGGGGGAGGAGGAGGAGGAGGAGGAGGAGGAGGAGGAGGAGGAGGAGCACGAAACGGTCGTCTGTGATCTGGAGGTCGATGGCGTTGAGTGTGTGGGGCTAGGTACCGCACGTGGCAAGGCTTCGCGCACACATCAAACACACAGTAAAATACATGGTGTCGGTCGCCCTCTGGAGTACTATTGCACTTCGAGTAACAGGTGCCCCTCGTGGAAAGCAGTGTTCTCCTTCGTCGTCAGGCGCAGTATCATCTTCGAAGGGGTCTTGAAACAACAAAAAAATATTATGCCTCCTCTGGTGGTCGAGCGGCCGTTGACGCGCATGCCATGCGATCCTGATGTCTTTAATCCGGATTAAGATAGGATCGAGCGGCATTTAACTAACGAGGTGCATCCGACCGAACTTCCAATCGATATTAAGGAGTTCCCCGATTCTTTCTCGTATCCATAAGCTGCGCCATATGGCGCGTTCGTTTCCTGCTTGCCGCGGTGATGGCGACGTGGCTGGTGCTCCCGACTGGGGGCATGGTCGCATGGGAAGATGAATTCTAGCGGCTTGGGGGGCCGGAAGCTAGAGAGCGCCAGGAGAAGTCTCGCCGCTTGGGGGCGGACCCGGCCACGAATTTTCGAGAGGTAGTGAAAAACCTTGCCGAAGTATGCCTTACGAGTGTTCCTGAGTTTCGTGCCGTGTTCGCTGTCGGTTTCCTGTGCTTCAAGATTCCACTTGATTCCGCTCTATCTAGAAGAGAATGAAAACTGACATCAAGAACCACGCTGATCGCATTCGTGACCGTTCTGGGCACGGTGAGGGTGCTCGAGGGCCGTTGGCATTCATGAAACTCCTGATGGCAATCCGCCCGTTTGCACAGGCTGCGAGCCAAGAGATATTCAATGAGTTAGCCAAGGCGCACCCACCGGGGTGCCCTGAGCGCCAGACACGCATTCTCTGCACGCAGTTGCAGGATTGCTTCGACCAGAAGCACGCCAAGCTGTACATCCGTCTAGTGCTGAAGTTTCGCAACGTTGAATTGCAGGTGATGGCAACCACGAAGATGCTGGGACACCCGCGCCTGGCCGGCCAGGCGCCCAGAGGGAGCTTGGAGCGGCGTGCGCAGCAGCTCTTAGACGAGCCCGAGGGCAAAAGCCCAGGGCAGAGCCAAGGATACGAATTATGCATTGATGTCTCCCGCTGGTGTTGGTTGCGTGTTTTTGCTTGTCCCTGCCTCTTCTCTCTCTCTCTATCCCCTTTCTCGTCGCCTTGCTTCCCATCCGTTCGGATCTCGCTTGGGTGGCCCAGTGCCGCCTAAGGCGTCTGCAACCTGAAGCGCAACGGTCGTTGCTCGAGGGCGCGGATTGTGCGATTCGTGTGAATTCTATCGATCGAAACGCATTTCCCGCTCGCGTGTTCATTACGAAGATGCGGCAGGCCGTCAGTGCCACCGCAGGTTCCCTCAAAGTCACTGCTTAACTAGGTGTGTAGACCACTGCGTGGGCTTCCTGCAGGGTGCGGCGACGACGACGAACGATGGGAAACGGTATGGGGAGGGGTAGGCGGGGGTAGGCGTGCGGTGATGCGGGAAGGAAGATTTCGCCGTGGAGACCTCTGCAAGCTCGTGACTCGACGTGGATCCACGTCCTGCATGAGTGGGGCCGCTTTTGCCAACAGGTGATGCAGCAAAAAACAAAAGGGATCCACAAAAAGGAGCGGGACGGAAAAGGACAGCTTGAGGTAGGAGTGGGGGAGGAGTGGGGGAGGAGGAAGGAAGGAAGAGGGAGGAGGGATAGCGGGAGGAGGAGGAGGAGGAGGAGGAGGAGGAGGAGGAGGAGGAGGGAGAGGGGAGGGAGGAGGAGGAGGAGGAGGAGGAGGAGGAGGAGGAGGAGGAGGAGGAGGAGGACGAGGAGGAGGAGGAGGGGGAGGAGGGAGATGACGACGACGACGACGACGACGACGACGACGACGACGACGACGACGACGACAAATGCGTGCGCAGCGAGGGGCCAGCGCGCTGGGCCCAGATCGCCGCGCGCCGCGCGCGCCGGCGAGAGACCTCGGCCGCGGCGGCTCTTGGCTCTGGACGCCCGACATGGGCACTTAAAGAATGGGTACAATGCCCAACAGCAGTTCCTGTTCCTTTTGAGCAGGGCTCGCTGTCCGCGCCGCCGCAGCCTGTGTCCATTCCAGACAGGGGGCCGCCTGCCCAACAGCGGCCGCTGTTGGTTTGGGACAACATCTGTTGTTGGGGCGGGTGTCCAAATGGGTGTCCAAATTGGCACGGGGGACGGTTGCCAGTGCGAGGCGCGGGGCAGGCCGAGGCGCCCCGCACGGGCTGCGCCGGTGCAGGTGGGGTCTCCGTGCTGTGGAGGCCCATGCCGAGAGGCTCGGGCCTTTTCCGCGGGCCCGTCCGCGGGCCTCTCCTGGGGCCCTGCCTCGGGCCCTTCTGGGGGGCCCTTCCTCGGGCCCCGCGGGGGGGGGGGCCTGCGGGAGCGGTCACCCCGCGGCGGAGCGCTGTCCCGAGAGAGTGCGGGCTCGGGGCCCCTGAGTGGGGGGTCGAAAGGAGGAGGAGGAGGAGGAGGAGGAGGAGGAGGAGGAGGAGGAGGAGGAGGAGGGCGGCGGAGCGACCGGGTACCGATGCCGCCACAGTGGGGGCCCATGCCAAGGAACGCTCTGCTTGCTTCCAGTGTGTCCTGGGTCTCCTGGGTTTCGATGGTTGTGCTGTGGAACGCGTGACGTTCCCACACGAAAAGTCCATGGACGTCCTGGGGTCTCATGGTTGGGTTTCTTGTGGAAGGTTTCTTGTGGACTGGCCTCCACTGTGCGACTCCAGTCTTGCTTGATGTTGTCGGTAGGTTGCGCTGCATCTTCGCGGGACCTCGCTTGTCCCCCAAGTCGGTGTCTGTTCTTGTGCCCGACGCGGGCTCGATGCGCCCTCGACGCGGGTTTGGCGCGTATGCGACGCGGTTTCGACATGGTTTCGACACGGATTCGACGAGGCCGACATGGATTCGACACGGATTCGTTGCGGTTAGGGCCGCGCCGGGACGGACAAGGTCCCCCGAGGATGCGACATGATGTAGCCTTTTGCAGGGGAGCGTGGTTCCTTGGTCGGGGGAAAGGGAAGCGGCAAGCGGCGAGCGTGCGAAGGCTGTCCAATCGTGGAAAGGGACCAGAGGATGAAGAGGTGGGGGTCGGCGATGACCAGGTCCGTTGTGGGTCGGAGGTTGTGAGATGTGTTCATGACGCCCGTGGGTGGCCCCAGGGGGTTCATGTCGGCCCCATCGATCCGTTGCGATATCGATTCTGGCCGGTCCGATCCAATGCGTCACAAATGTTCCAATTGTCCGATGCGGCCCGTTGTTTGCATGGTTCTACTGTGTATCCTTGCGCGGCCGATCCGGTTCGATTTCGGCTCCGTGCCGATGCTGCCCGATCCGACGCACATTTCGATTCGATGCGGCTTCTCGATTCGGAGCTCACTGATTCTGCCCTCGGGGCCTCGTGGAGGGTGTTCTGGCAGCTATGCAGGTATGCTTTGAAATCCTGGGGACGCGGGACTTCTCTGGACCCCCCTTCTCCAAGTTTTGGGCTGCCTTCCGAGGAGATTGGGAAATCGAGAGGCTCTCGGGTTCAACCTTGGCCCCAGGAGGGGAGTGCTGCGCTCAGAGATTCTGCGCACGCGAGTTCGCATGACAGTTCGCAAGCGAGTCCGAGGGCGAGACTACTACGGGGATAAGGCGAGCGTGTGAGTTGGTTCTTGGTGGCGACGAAGCCATCAAGTCGCAAACGCAGTGAACTGTTCCAGGGCGAGAAGAGTGTGATTGCTCCTGTTGCAAAGGGGGTAGGGACGGCGAGCTATTCAATATCGGTGCGTGGCCGGGCAACCAGGCTTTCAAGCTGTTCATGGGATCGGCCACCGTTATGTTACACGCTGGTCGTTGAAAGTATGTAGGTTTTGGATTCCCAGATCCCAATCTACTTCAAGCGCCTTTCTACTTCAAGAATCGACACGCTTTCGCTGTGTTTTGTAATTCCCTGGGAGGACCTGGACCCAGTCTACTATATCCGCTTTCCTACTTCATGTGTCTACCTACTTCTTCCGACCGACGTGTACTGTTAATTGACGGGGCACCTTGCAGCAAACAGCAGGAAAAACGTTTCTGGACCCGTAAATCGGACCATTGTAAGAAGGCATGGGACGAACTTGTATTCGCCGTGGGAAGTTTTGAGACCAGTAGCCAGCGGTCAATGATTGATCTGTCATTGCTCCTCCTCCCGATGACAAGGAGAGGACCCTCTGCTCCCTCCCTTCCCTCTCTCCTACTTCCTTCCTCATCGTCCGAGTCGTCCTCTCTGTCGCCCACTTACTTCTCGTCGTCGTCCTCCTTATCCAGACGCCCATCGTAAAATTCAAGTGAGTTTCCCCAGCCATCTGCCCCGTATGGCAGACGCTTTGCTGGAAAATCCAGGACTGCGTTTCCCACGCAAGGCTCCTCACAGCAAGGTTTCGACTGTATGGTCGATCATGCCTCTACCCACCCAAAGAAGGGAGGAATTCCGAGGCGTGGATTTGTCCATAACCACTGCCTGGGGATCGATCTCCGGAGACCCTGACAGGCGGTGGATATGAATAGATCAGGCCCCCCTGGGCCAATACATTCGTATTCTGTCCATATATACATATTTACATATATATATATATATATATATATATAAACATACATTCACATATGTATATATATATATGAACCTTCCAAGGAAACCTATGCGGAGTCCACCTGAGCGTGCGCGACGCCGTTGATGGATAACGGTTGAGTTTCATCCATCTGCCGTAGCTGTGTTGGCTCGAGACAGGCAGCGGAGTCACCGGGCGGTGCCGCCCGTCTGTGGCCGCTGCTGAGCCACTCTGTCTACTGAAAGTTCGCCGCGCCGAGCGCGGCCGCGTGCAGGCCACGCTCGGACGACTGATTCTGATCAGCCTCGCTGGCAGACTTTGCGGGCTGAGGGGAGCGAAGACCTGGCTGGGAGACGAGGATCCCGGGCGCGGGTCGCCCCTCTCCCGCGCCGCTGCTGGCGAGGAGCCCGATGGAGCGGGCAGCCCCGGGTGCCGCCGGGTGGCCCTTCCCGAGAGGGGCCTGGCTCGACGCGGCGCTGAACGGCGACCTGGTGCCGGGGCTGCCGCTGTGGGCTGGTGCACGGGTCCTGGCGCGCGTCAAGGACGACGACGGGGCGCCGCAGGGCGTCGAGATGCTCGAAGTGGAGGTCGCCTACCAAGCGGACGCCTTCGGCCGTTTCTTCAAGGGGCGGCACGTGGGCGCCAGCGACCCGTACTTCTCATGGTATGCAGCCTCCTCCGGGCAGCAGGGCGCGCGCCCCCTGGCCACGGTCTTCCACCTCTGCAAGTGCAGCGCCGCCGAGTGCGGGGCGGTCGCCCCAGTGGGCGCAGTAGTCGAGCACTTGGACGTGTGGCAGGTGGTGGACCCCCGCGATGTGGCCCGCGAGCAGGCGAAGCTCATCTGCCCGGCCGCGGACCCTGGAGCGCCTGTGCTGGCCGACGCGCCCTCGGCCGAGCCGATGCCTGGAGAGCTCGGCGGATGGCCGCTCGGGGACGGGGCCAACGAGGACGAGGAGGAGCCTCGCGGGCCACCGCGCAAGCGAGCCCGCGAGGTGGAGGGCACCCAGACCCCTGGCGGACCAGGAGATACGAGCCCGCTCGACCAGGAGCTTGCTGGGCTCGAGGAGACCGCCGAGGACCCCGAGCTCGAGGCGCGGCTGGCGCGGCTCGGGGGCAAGGCAGCTCGTGGTGGGCCGAGGCAGGGCACGCCCAAGAATGCCGCGCGCCCAGCAGGGGCCGTGGGCGAGCGCCTGGCGCAGGTGGTAGCTGGCCGAGCCGCCGCTGCTGCCCCTGCGCGCGCCAGCGCCTCGGGATCGAAGAGCAGGCTGGCGTCAGCGTTGACCGCTGCGCTCCTGGGGCGCGACGACGACGACGCGGAGGACGGCGCGGAGAGCGACACGGAGCGCCTCGGGGGCCGCGATCGCTACCAGGGCGTGAACATCAAGCGCGACTTGTTCCGCAGGATCGCTCGGCAGCGGCCTGGTGCTCTCCTCGAGAATGGGCTCGGCCACCTGCGCAGCCAGTTCACCCAGCAGCTGTCCGCGGGCGAAGCCGACCCTCTGGCCCCATGCGTCACGCAGTTCCTGAACACGGTGTTCTTCGTTGCTCACCCGCCGCGCACGCTGGGGACAGACGAGGTGCGGGTCCTCCGCACGCTGGGGCTGGCGCTCGACGGCATCCTGCGCGGAGAGGTCGTCGAGACTGCGGATCTGCTCATGCAGGAGTTCAAGGCGCGGACGATGGCCATCCGCGACGGGAACTGGCGGTCAGCACGGTGGCTCACGCTGGTCGCACAGGAACAGCTTCCATCAGGCGCCTCTCTGGACGAGGAGAACGCCGCCGAGAAGGTCGAGGCCCGGGAGCTGAAGGTCGCCGAACTCCGCCAGCGGCTTGCAGACCGCAGGCCGGGCTAGGGGTCTGGCCGGGAGCCGTCTCCGTTGCAGGGGGGGACGGCACCTGCAGGCCATGGGCGCGCGGAGGCGCGCCCCCCGCCCCCTGCTACCGGGACGCCAGTCTCGGGATCGGCCGAGGCGATGAGGATCCTTGCCGGACGCGTTCCAGGCGACGGTCCCGCAGCTCCCCCCGCCGAGAAGAAGCCGCCAGCGGCGCGGAGGACCAGCCGCAGTCCCACGCGGTCAGTCCAGCTCCTGAGCGACTCGGAGGGGGACCTCGACGCAGCAGCCGCCGCCCGCGTGCCACCAGCGGAGGCGGCGGCGAGCCGGAGCTTCTCGCAGCACAAGGCGGCCCACCCGAGGCGCGAGGGCGAGACCCAGGCAGCGTGGAAGGCGCGCATCGGGAGGCCGCTGGCTGCCAAGAGCCGCGGCAAAGGCAAGGCGGGGAAGAGCCGCGGCACGGGCACTGCTCGCAGGACGGCCTGGGTTCGAGCGTGAGGGCCGACACGGCTAAGGCCGCGGCCCACAGCATGCCCCCGCCTGCCCTCCGCCCGCCTGAGCGGCAGCTACGCGGCAGTTCGCAGGCTCGGCGGTGGCGCCAGATGCTAGCCGAGGTGGGCACGGGCGTCAGCTCCAAGTTCAGGCTGGCCCTCGCAGTCCACGAGGCGGTGCACGGCTCGCCAGGGGCGATCGGGCGGTACGTTCGTAGGATGTGCACTTCGCCAGACCCCACGGCCAGCTTCGCGCGGCTGCGCGAGGTGTTGCCGTTACCACTGCCCGACGCCCCACTCTTCGAGAGGTACCGCGCCGCCTGGCACTTGCACCAGCAGCTGCCGGAGACCTGCGAGGTGGACACCGCCACGGCGCAGGGGTGGGCCCAGCTCGTGGTCTTCAGCCTGAACTACCAGTACACGGGGCACATGCGCAGCCCCACCGTCGCCGCGAGGCGGCCCACGGCTAGCCAGGTTAGTGCGCTCGGCATTGTGCAGGAGGCCTGTGAGTATTTCGTTCAGGATGCCGCCACAGCCTTCGAGCTCCCGGACTGGGACCGGGTCATCTCGTCGAGGACCGTCTCCTACGGGGGCGAGGAGACGGCCCGCGCCTTGCCGCTCTCGCTCGCGGGCATCATGCCAGGCCTCCCCGCGCGCGGCGTTGCCGCCTCGGTCAAGGCGGTCGACATCGCGGACGCTCAGGTGGGCGCCTGGCTTGCCGACCCCACGCTGGCTTTGCTCCCACGAGATGAGTGGCCTGCAGAGGTCCCGCGGGCAGCGATCCAGGTCACGTCCAAGCAGGAGTGGTACCGCATCGGGACCAAGCTCGTCGAGCTGGGGCTGGCGGCGCCGATCGCCGACGACCGCATCTTCAAGGTCGGGAACCGCAAGGTGCTTGCGGGGGCGTTCGGGGTCGCCAAGGGAGGCACGCCGTCACCTGGGCAGGCGTGCGTCCAGCGGTTAATCATCAACATGGTCCCGGCCAACAGCTACCAGCGCATCATGAGGGATGACATCGGGACCCTTAGCGCGTCGCCCTCGTGGGTCGCCATCCCGCTCCCAGAGGGCCACATGCTGCTCTGGTCCTCGGATGACCAAGCCTCCGCTTTCTACTGCTACGAGCTGCCCGAGGCCTGGCAGCCATACATGACCCTCGCGGAGGCGATCCCGAACGAGCTCATCGGTGTGCCGGGTCCTGGGAAGACTCACCTCGCGCTGCGCGTCATCCCGATGGGCTGGATCAACGCGGTCACGGTGTTTCAGCACTGCCACAGGCGCCTCGGGTTCGGCTCTCGCCCCCTCGCTGCGGGGTTTCCCGCAGAGCTCGAGTGGCGCAAGGACCGGCCGCTTCCGTTCAAGTCGAAGGAGCTCGAGCAGCAGTGGATCCAGTACTACATCGACGACTGGGACCATGGCGAGGTGGTGCCCAACGCGATGGTCGCGGAGCTCCTCGGCACGATGAGCTGCGCGCAGGAGGAGCAGAGGGCCGCCTACGGCCGCTCGGGGATCAGCGTCGCCCCCGGCAAGGCCAAGCACCGCGCGCTGGTCCTGGAGCGGATGGGCGCGGGTCTTGACGGGGCCGTCGGCCGGGTCGGAGTCACGACCGAGAAGCTGCACCAGCTGCTGGCGTTCATCCTGTGGGGCATGGGCAGGCAGGGCCTCTCGTCACAGGGCATGCTCATGATCCTAGGCAGGTGCGCCAGGGCAGCGGAGTTCAGGAGGCCTTTCATGGGATTCCTCAACAGCGTGTGGGCTGCTGGACGCTGGACGCGTCCGCAGACTGTTCCCCTTGGCATGTGCGACGAGCTCTTGGGCTTCGCGATGGCGCTGCCGCTGGCCTACACTGACCTGCGCGCGAAGATCGACACTTGTGTCATAGCGACCGATGCCAGCGAGCGCGCCGGGGGCATCTGCCACACGGCCGGGCTCTCGGCGCAGGGCGTTGCGTGCGCGAGAGGGGGAGCTTCGGCTGTGACGTTGCGGCCTGGTGCAGTTGCGGCCCCTGTGCGGGGTGTGCGGTGGCGCCCTCGCATAGTTCTCATCGAGCTCTTCGCTGGCGCCGCGGGGGCCGCGGTGGCGGCCTCCAGACTCCCGATCGACGTGATGGCCCATGTCAGCTGCGAGGTCGAGCCCGCCGCCCGGCGACTGGTGCGTCGCCGCTGGGCGGGCGTGATCGAGCTTGGCAACATCGAGGCCGTCGACACGGCGCGGTTTACTGAGATGCTGAAGGGCTACGCGCGGGACGCCGACTGGGTCGTCCTGACCGCGGGGAGCCCGTGCCAAGACCTGGCGAGCATCAATGTCGTGGGGACCGGCCTGGAGGGGTCGAGGTCGAGGCTCTTCTTCCGGGTCCCCGAGCTGATCCAGGCAGCAGAGGCTGCCTTTCCCAAGCGCACCATGTGGTTCGTTGAGAACGTGTTCAGCATGACCTTAGAGTCGAGGGCGGAGTTCACCAGGGCGCTTGGCGTCACACCCGTTTTCCTCGATGCCAGGTGTCTCACTCACGTCAGGCGGCCCCGCCTGTACTGGTGCTCGTGGCCCGTTACGGCGTTCTTGGCGTCCGACGCCACCGTCGAGACCAAGGGTGTGGGTGAAGCCACGTACTTCAAGGTCTCGCTTGCGGTGGAGAGGCTCCCACTGAGTGCCTCGCTCCTGGAGGGCTGGTCGACGCTGGACCCTGAGGCAGACCTCCCTTGTTTCACGAGGCCGATCCCGCGGAGTCACCCGCCGTTTCGGCCCGTGGGCCTCGACCGCGCCTCGGTGAGGGCTGCAGAGCGCTGGGCTGCCGACAGCTACCGTTACCAGGTCAACAACTACGAGGACGGCAGCCTCATCTGGGATGCAAGGCGTGAGCGGGGCCGGCTGCCCGTGCCTGAGGAGCGTGCTGCCCTGATGGGGTTCGACCGTCTCTATTTCCAGGCCGCTGTAAAAGATAGTGCACCTGCCGCCGAGCGTGACAGCGTCATTGAGTCTCTGATCGGGAATACGTTCTGCGTCCAGGCTGTCATGTATCTTCTCGGCTCGTGGCTCGCTCAGGTGGGGGCGCTAGCGGCCGCCATCCCGGGCAGCAGCTGCCTCGCTGTGGGCACGTGCGAGGCGAACTGGAACGTGGTTCCCGACTTCCAGCAGCCGGGACATCGCGACCCGCGGTTGGAACGCAGCCTGATCGTGGAGTTCCTGAGGGTCGCGGACCGCGGGGGCACGGACGTCCGGCTTGACACCGGGGCACCCTACCGAGCCCGCGCGTGGCCGCGGGCAGCTCTCCGTACGCACCTCTGGGCCTGGCGGATCGCCAAAGGGTTTCGCTGGCAGCGGCCCGGGCACATCTCGGCGCTGGAGCTGGAGGCTGCAGTGGCTGGAGCGCGCTGGAGGTGCCGAGCGGTTGAGAACCACCGCTGCCGCTACCTGCACATACTGGATGCCCAAGCGATCGCGGCAGTCAGCACCAAGGGCAGATCGAGCGCGAGGGCTTTGCAGCCCGCGCTCCGCCGTCTCAACGCCCTCCTCCTCGCGACGGCAGGGTACCCGCTGTACGGCTACTGCGACACCGACGACATGCCCGCCGACACGCCGTCCCGCTGGAGCTTCGGCCGCCGCTGCCTCGCTCCCAGTGCGGCCGCCGGCAAGGGCCAGGAGGGCCGCCCCCAGCAAGCGTGCAGCACAAGCAGCGGCAAAGGTGAGCCGGGTCACAGCTCAGGCGATGGCGCGACGAGCTGCAGCGAGATCCCAACCGCTGAGGGAGGCGATGGTCACGCCACTCACCCTGCAGCGGTACCGTGCGGCAGTCGATGAAGTCGTTGATTTCTGGATCCAGGAGCACCGGCAGCCGCAGACGCCCGCTCAGGTCGACGCTGGCGTGGCCGCCTTCATTGAGAGCCGCTGGCTGAGCGGAGGATCTTTGTTCGAAGTTAATAATGCTATTGCTGGCATCACGCACGCTTTCCCGCCCGTGCGAGGGCACCTGCGGGACAGCTGGCGCTTGGCCAAGACGTGGCAACGACTGGAGCCAGCTGGGCGGGCGCTGCCGATTGGTCCGCTGATCGCGGCAGCATTCGCTGGTGCATTTGCAGCCGTAGGCCAGCTCGGTGCTGCGGCGGTGCTGGCTGCGGGCTACGATGCTTTCCTCCGGACGGGTGAGATGACCTCGCTCGTGTGGTCCGATGTACAGCTGTACCCACTCCGGCGAATGGCCGTGCTGCAGCTGCGCAACGCCAAGAGCCAGCATCAGACTGGTGCCCGAGAGTTCGTGCTCGTGCGGAGTGGCGTAGCGGTCGCCCTCCTTGCTAGAGCAAAGGCTCAGGCGCACGGACAGGACTTGTGCCTCGGAATGGAGCCAAACAGTTTCATAAACACTTTCAGCCGAGTGCGTGAGCTGCTGGAACTGCAGGATGCTAAGCTCACCCTCTACAGCTGGCGGAGGGGCGGCGCCTCCGCCGACTTCCGCAGCCATGGCTCCATGGAGCAGACGCTGCTCCGAGGCAGATGGGCCTCGGCGCGCACGGCCCGCTTGTATGTCCAGGATGCCGTCGCCGAGGCCACTCAATTAAATCTCTCGCCCGCGCAGCGGAAGCGCTGCGGCCTGCTCGCGTCCCGCCTGCGAGCAGAAGCGAGATGAACTTTTCTTGCTTTGTACTGCCTGTCTGTCTGTCCCGCCCACCCTCCACCTTTCTTCCCTCATTTCATTACAACAAGGTGGAGGGCATAGGTAAGAGCAAGAGGGAGCGGCTTTTGCCAGAGTAGGGACCGTGGAGAGGCTAGGGGGTTCAGGGGTTGGTGACGTTTAACCTCCCGGCGGTGCAAGTGTGTCAGCGCGTCTGGGACGCAGCGCGGGTGCTTGAGCGCCACGGCTGTGCCAGGCGGGTTGGGAGGCCCTTGGATGCCGCTGAAGGGACGGGACCTCTCCCAACTCCTGGAATGACCCCTGAGTAGCCCCCAGAGGTCCTGGTCTGACAAGCTCCCTGGCGGAGTGCACAAAAACAGGTGAGAGAAGCATATGTGAACCTTCCAAGGAAACCTATGCGGAGTCCACCTGAGCGTGCGCGACGCCGTTGATGGATAACGGTTGAGTTTCATCCATCTGCCGTAGCTGTGTTGGCCCACCCACAGACAGGGGGCAGCATTGCTACCGTCTCGCGCGTGGCCGTGCCTGCCTCCGCGCGAGTATTTGCCAGGACGAGAGAGCTAGGGGGTTCAGGGGTTGGTGACGTTTAACCTCCCGGCGGTGCAAGTGTGTCAGCGCGTCTGGGACGCAGCGCGGGTGCTTAAGCGCCACGGCTGTGCCAGGCGGGTTGGGAGGCCCTTGGATGCCGCTGAAGGGACGGGACCTCTCCCAACTCCTGGAATGACCCCTGAGTAGCCCCCAGAGGTCCTGGCCTGACAAGCTCCCTGGCGGAGTGCACAAAAACTGGTGAGAGAAGCATATATATATATATATATATATATATATATATATATTCCTCTTCCTATATTTTTGCAAGCCCGGGCGGCCGCAAAAACCCATCACCCCCCCCCCCCCCCCCCCCCCCCAAACCGGACTCCCAGGATCCTGGGGCTTTGGGACCCTCCGGACGCCCATTGAAGCGGTCCCGAGTGCCCCAAGAGCGCTCCAAGACAGGCACAAAGCGCTCCAAGACGCCCAAGATGGCCCCAAGATTGCCCCAGAGGCCCCCAAGACCCCCCAAAATGGCACCAAGGCAGCCCCAGGAGCCCCCAAGACGCCCCAAGAGGCCCCAAAGAAGCCTCCCAAGACGGCCCCTGGAGGCCGAAATGGTTAATTTTCCCTTGTGTTTTCGATGTTTTCTGCCTTCTCGCTTTTTCAGCTTTCCGACGCTCCAAGACAGATCCAGAGGCCCTCAAGAGCGCCCCAAGATGACCCAGGAGGCCCCCAAGACGGCCCCAACACGGCCCCAAGACGGCTCTGGAGCGCCCCAAACCAGCCCAAGAGGCGCCCAAGAGGGCCCAAGAGGGCCCCGAGAAAGCCTCAAGAGGAACCCCAGAGGGCGATCAAACGTTCAAACATCAAACTTTTCGCCCCGAGAGAGCCCCAGGAGGCCCCAGGAGGGCCCCAAGAGGCCCCAAGAGGCTTCCAAAAGGCCCCAAGGACCCCCAAGAGGTCCCCCAAAAAACCCGAGAGGCCCCCAAATGGCTCTCCAAGAGCCCCCAAGACGGCCCCAACACGGCCCCAAGACGGCTCTGGAGCGCCCCAAACCAGCCCAAGAGGCGCCCACGAGGGCCCAAGAGGGCCCCGAGAAAGCCTCAAGAGGAACCCCAGAGGGCGATCAAACGTTCAAACATCAAACTTTTCGCCCCGAGAGAGCCCCAGGAGGCCCCAGGAGGGCCCCAAGAGGCCCCAAGAGGCTTCCAAAAGGCCCCAAGGACCCCCAAGAGGTCCCCCAAAAAACCCGAGAGGCCCCCAAATGGCTCTCCAAGAGGCAGCCGAAACGGCTCCCCAAGAGGCTTCAAAACCTTTGAATCGCCTCAATCGACCGTCACCTCCGGGACGGCTTCGCTGCGCTGCTCCGATGTTTGCCAGACAGCGGCATCCCACGCAAAACCCCAAAATGCTTGAAATCCTGGGTTCGCAACCAAATTCCAGGAAAATCGGCTGCGCACCCCAAGAGAAGTCCGAGTGGCGCGCGGACCTGCCAAGCGAGGGCGCGAGCAAATATGGAACGGGCCCAGGAACTGGGCGCGAAACGGGCAAAATGCAAAGGCCACGGAGGATCGTGCTGGGTGCCAACACATGCAAGGCTTGAAGGACCAAGGTGCATGGCGCGAAGCGCCAATGCAGTCTTGTATATATATATACATATATATATATATATATAATATATATATATATATATATATATATATATATATAATATATATATATCCGTAAGGGCTTCGCCCGCTGCCGCCGGCCCCCTCTCTATCATAATGGGACACATCAGAGACATATTGGGATGTTTGGGCGCCGTCTTGATGACATTCGGGAACGTCATGCTAGGGCGGCTGGCGATGAGCAAAACAGTTTGAGATGTTGAAGCTGTTGTTGAACACTTTGTTGCCTTCTTGGCATTTTCCTCCAGTTGTTCACTGGAAGCGCTCTGGGAACGGCTGGGGATTGCTTCGGGCAATCTCTGGGAAGGTTTTTTTTTCCTCTGGAGAAGGAGTGGTGGCAGCTTCCGCGAGGTGGATTCGTAGCGTGGGGGGTGCGCGCGAATTTGGTGTAATTTGCGGGGGATCGTGGCCTCGGGGACGCGAACGTTGCGTAATTTACGAGGGATCGTGGCCTGGGGGGCGCGACAGCGGCGTAATTTACAAGGGATCGTTGCCTCGGGGGCGCGAATGTGGTGTAATTCACGCGGGATCGTGGCCTCGGGGGTGCAAATGCGGTGTAATTTACGAGAGATCGTGGCCTGGGGGGGTGAATGTGGAACCCACCGCCGAATTTTCCAGAAACGGGGGGGGGCACAAAAGAATACCAGCGGAGCACATATCCCAATACAGAAAATTACGTTTTTCTGCTTTGGAGAGGGGGGGGCGCCTTTTCGGCAGCCTCCGCAAGGCGGGTTCGTGGCCTCGGGGGCGCGCCCGCCGCGTAATTTACGAGGGATCGTGGCGTCAGGGGCGCGAATTCGTAGTAATTTACGCGGGATCGTGGCCTCGGGGGCGCGACAATTATGTAAATTACTCAGGATCGTGGCTTCGGAGGCGCGAAGGTGGAGTAAATTACGATGGATCGTGGCCTCGAGGGCGCGAATGTGAGGTAATTTACATGGGATCGTGGCCTCGGAGACGCAAATGTGGCGTAAGCTACAAGGGATCGTGGCCTCGGAGACGCGAATGCGGTGCAATTTACAAGGGATCGTGGCCTCGGGGCGCGAACGCGGAGTGATTTACGAGGGATCGTGGCCTCGGAGACGCAAACGTGGTGTAACTTACGAGGGATCGTGGCCTCGGAGACGCGAGTGAGGCGTAATTTACGAGGGGACGTGGCCTCGGTGGCGCGAACACAGCGTAATTTGCAAGGGATTATGGTTTCGGGGGCACGAACCTCCCGTGTCCCACGCCCCCCCAGAAATTCTGAGAACCCTCCTGGGGGACGCTAACCAGGGCCTTTTTCGGCTCCCCCCACCTCGCGCGGACAGTAACAATTTACAGTAGGAAGCAGACAGCAGTACTGTAACAATGGAAACTGGAAACTGGAACTGGTGCAGGGAGCAGCAACCTTAATCCTCGCAGCCTGATGGCCCCGCAAGGGGGCCGGCGGGCGGATGCATACACAGATGTATTGAGAGAGAGAGAGAGAGAGAGAAAGAAAAAAAAAAAAAGCGACAGAGAACAAACAACAACATACATAAGATTATATCCGCCTGCTGGGGGCCCAGGACGCCGTTCCCCCAGGCGGTGGACACGGATATATCCCCGCTTCGCAGGTTGGGCGAGAGCGAGGGGAGCATCACCACCTACCAAACCACCCCAACCCAACCCGAAGGCTTCAATTTGCCCTCCACTTCCAGTGGGGGGGGTCGGGGAACGTTGAAAAAACACATGGTGCCCGTTCCCCCCCCAACCCGAAATTCGGGTCAAATTCTGGTCTTCGGGTTGGGTTGGGGTGGTCTGGTAGGTAGTCAGAGCAAGAGGGGAGCGACGCAGATGATCTTGGTGCTCATGAACGTGCTGCTGCCGTTTGTCTACATGGCCGCCCTGCTCGTGCTGGCGGAGGCTCGTCGGGCCTCCCGGCGGGGGCCTGCGGGAGGAGCGGCGAGGGCGGGAGGAGATGGAGGACCGGAGGCAACGTCAGGACAGGGGGGGGATAGGCCCGGGAGGGTCTGCATCCATCCTCCTCCTCCTCCTCCTCCTCCTCCTCCTCCTCCTCTCCTCCTCCCCTCCTCCTCCTCGCTCCTCCTCCTCCTCCTCCTCCTCCTCCCTCTTCCTCCTCCTCCTCCTCCTCCTCCTCCTCCTCCTCCTCCTCCTCCTCCTCCTCCTCCTCCCTCCCCTCTCCTCCTCCTCCTCTCCTCTTCCTCCTCCTCCCCTCCGTCCTCGTCCTCCTCCTCCTCCCCCCCCTCCCCCACCCTCCTCCCTCCTCCTCCTCCTCGTCCTCCTCCTCCTCCTCCTCCTCCTCCTCCTCCACCTCCTCCTCCTCCTCCTCCTCCTCCTCCTCCTCCTCCTCCTCCTCCTCCTCCTCCTCCTCCTCCCCCCTCCCCCCTCCCCCTCCCCCTCCTCCTCTCCATCCCTCCTCCTCCTCCTCCTCCTCGCCCACGGATTGCCGCCGGTGGCTGCCATGGCCCACCTCCTCCTCCTCCTCCTCCTCCTCCTCCTCCTCCTCCTCCTCTTCCTCCTCCTCCTCCTCGCCCACGGATTGCCGCTGGTGGCCGCCATGGCCCACCTCGCCGAGGAGCGCGCGGGAGCCGCTGTCGGGGGGCCCGTCGCCGGTCCGTCGGCGGTGTACATTTTTCCAGCTCTCGATTTCCCCTCCCCCCCCCCAAGTGGGTGCCCCAAAGTTGCTCCGTCCCTCAGACCGGGGAACAAAATGTGGCTCTCGCCTTTGCGCCGAGCGCATTCGTTGCAACAAAACTACAAGTGTCTGACGGATTCTCATG